GGATGGCCGAGTCGTGTGAGGTTGCGCTAAACCTAATGTAGCCTTAGCGGCTTGGCATCAGACCTGCGACCGAGACGGCCTTTGCGGCTTCCACCTTCGAGAACTACCAGCCCTACGCTCGCTCTACTTTTCCAATAAACCCTTCAATTGCATATTCGTCACAATGGGTGGAGGTGGAAAGATCCCGTATGTGCTCGTGTTCTTGTCATGACTCCACCAAGAGCTAATGGATTCGATCTGGCAGGTACCCCAAGGAAGTCTGGTCCCCCTCTGGTGGTTGGTACGCCCAGCCAGCTAACTGGAGGGCCAACACTGCGATCATGGGAGCCTTTGTGATTGGTGTCGCTGCTGTCGCCTTCAGCATCAGCGCTGATCGGGAATATCGCGACAAGATGCCCGAGCCCGGCCGTTTCTTCCCCAGCCGATAGTCCGTTACCCGAACCCCATATCACTCGGTATACCTTATGCTGACATTTACGTTTCTTCATTTATAGCTGGAGCAGGCAAATTCGGGAGCACGAGCAGCAACAAGCCGCGAAGAACGACTCATAGAGAAGGTCCGGTTGTAGGCGGATTTTCAGCAGGACGGAACCTTGTCTTTTTGTTTTTCTACTATTTGATCACTTGTGTGCTGTACGACAATAAAAGGGTTCCTCATTTGGCCATTGGTCAATTGACCAACAGATGTCTCTGAGGAGACTCTTCGAGTGTCTTCAATAATCGCTGCGTGTACAGGCGGACACGTTCCGTGAATTCAGTCTGATTCCACAATTCCTTTCCGTTTCCATCAACATCGATCTGCGGCACACCAATTTGCTCTACCACAAAGCCAGCTGCGACAGTTGCGCAAATGAGCGCCATAGGATAATGTTGGTAATTGCCCCAAGATTCGAGGGCTTTCTTCCAGGTTTCGGAGTTTGATAGAACAGAGCCAATGACCTGGAATGGCTCTCGGCCTGCAGCTACCATGCCCTGGGCTAGAGCACCAAGGAAAGAATTGCCCGCACCTGTGGGGTCGATCACAGTCGTAGCACCTGACGCATGAGGTTGGTGATATGCGGGGAGCCAAATCTTGCCAGACTTTGAGTAGGCGTAGCTACCATCCTTTCCTGCCCTGATAACCAGCATGCCATTTCCATCGGGGCCAATACCGGAGTCTGTAATCCTTTGGACTAGCTGCTGCCCTACTTGGCTCTCCTCAGTCCAACCGGGATGATCAAACATCATGCCGAGCTCCATGTGGTTAGGACTCACCACATCCACGACTTTATTTGCTGCGAAGAATTTTTCCTGTTCTTCTGGAGTGCAAAGATCAGGGACTGGCTCCCAGACGAAGATAGGGCGCTTGGAAGCATGAACGGCAGGCGGCGCTTTCCCTGCCTTTTGCAATTCATCTCGTCGCTGCAGAATATCCTGCACTATAGATATACAACGAGACGGAGAACAGACCATATGGAATGTCTTGGACCACACCTGCGAATCGGACAACATTGCAGGCTCGAGTCTTAATTTCGGAGTCAAGTATTTGAAGTCTGCCCGGTCAAGTTAGCGCGTGCGTTTGAGAGATATCACCAGCAACTTTACCTCGTTTCTCGTCGGGATGATACCCGTTCCAGGCTCTCGTTGTCAGCCTGCTAGGGTCCTCTCTAAAAACGCAAGCTGTGTTCCATGATTTGATTACATCAAACGTCTCAGCAGGGAAATCGGAGCCAACATCCACGATCCAGCTCACAGATCGTGCATACTTCGAGCCTGAGACCAAGCGGGCGCCCACGACTGCGAATGATGCTGCGCCTCCAAGGATATTCTTGACACCAGGTCTTGAATCGCCGAAGTCAATATCATCTGAATAACGATGCACCTGTGAGTCTACATCCCACTTTGAGGGACGAAGTAAACCATACCAATTATGAACATTCCCAAGGTGCAGAACTCGACCTCAATGGGCTGATCCTGGGCGACCATATTTGCGGCTAAGGCTATGTATAAATACCACAAAGAAGATGGTTGCTCATAGAGACAAAGAACAACCGAACGTTGAAATGTCGGGAGTTCGACTATCGCATTACGGTGGATCGGGTGGTGGTAATATAATTACCAAATATACCCCGCAACGTCATTCCCACCTGCGGATCCAGCTGTAACATACCATACCACGTCGTCATCCGCAGCGGACCTCAGGAGCTCCGGTCTTTGATTTCTTTCCACTCCCTATCATCCCGTTGTTTTTGGAACTCGAGGGCCTAAATCTTACCAAATAGCAGGGGATTTTGCCTTTCGACAATCCCTCGTTTTCAACCTATCCAAGTCGCCCATTTTTACCTTTCCACTTCGACCGTTGGAGCAACGTGTTGCCTATCATGGCGTCCGGCGGCCATATGCATAATTTCACCACCCTCATCAAGCGGTATGTATTCTTGGTGCTAGCAGTGTCTGGCCTATGGCCTTTTGCATTTGGTTTAATGCACGCTAAGCTGTTTGACACATAAATCCGCCACACTCGACTGACACTGGACTCATCTACAGGCTCGAGGCAGCGACCTCACGTTTGGAGGATATGGCGATGTCATTCGATGACTCTAGCGCGTCAAAGTCCTTGACCGGCTCTCCTTCTTCTGCGCCCACTATTCCACCACCCCCTAAGGCTTCCCCTTCCCCGCCCGCAGCCCCTGTGGCGGCCCCGGTTCCGCCGCAGATTCAGGACTTCGATGCGTTGATCAAGGGAGATGTTCAGAACTTTGTCAACCTGGGAGAGAAGATTGGTGGTCTTGTCGCTGAGCAAGTATGTTTTTGAGGAATTGGGGAAACTTGGTCTGTTGCGAGTGGTTGCTGACTGGGTCTATAGTCCAAAGCTGTCCTTCAAGCCTTCCAAGCTGAACGCACCTATCTTTTCGTTGTGACAAAGGCCAAGAAGCCAGATACCCAGCCCCCGGAGTTAATGACGGATCTGCACAAAGCATCAGATAGCATTAACAACATTCGCGAATCAAACAGAGCATCGCCGTTATTCAACCACCTGAGCGCTGTTGCGGAGGGTATTGTCGCCCTCGCTTGGTTCTTTGAAAGCAAGCCCGCGGAGTTTGTCACTGACATGATCGGTGGCATTGAATACTACGGAAATAAGGTGCTGAAGGAGTACAAGGACAAGTGAGCACTCCTATTCAAGACGTTTCGAAGGAATCCCCATGTTGACACTTTGATAGGGACAAAGCACATGTCGAATACATCAAAGCCTACTATCAAAATTTCAAGGCTCTTGCAGAGTACCTCAAGAAACACTTCCCCCAGGGTCTGACATGGAACAATGAGTCTGGCATTAATGCCTTGGAAGCGTTGAAACAGGCCAAGGGTGGACCTGCTCCGGTCAGCGGCGGTGCCCCTCCTCCTCCTCCCCCTCCTCCCCCTGTCCCAGCCCTCAATGTCCCCGGTGGTGCTCCTCCCCCACCTCCGCCTCCCGGTATTCCCCCCGCTCCGGCTCCGGCAGCACCGGCACCAGACATGGGTGCTGTCTTCAACCAGCTCAACCAGGGCGAAGGTATCACCTCCAGCCTCCGCAAGGTCGACAAATCGGAGATGACACACAAGAACCCCAGCCTGCGAGCCGGATCAATCGTACCGGACTCCGAGGGCTCCAGCGCCGCGCGGGGCAAGTCGCCAGCACCTAACAAAAAGCCTAAGCCCGAAAACATGCGCGCGCGCAAGCCGCCCCGCAAGGAGCTCGAGGGCAGCAAGTGGCTCATCGAGAACTTTGATGCCCCTGGCGAGATCATCGAGATCCCCGCGCAGCAGAACCAGTCCATCCTCATCAGCCGCTGCAACAAAACCATCATCAAGGTCACCAACAAGGCCAACGCCATCGCCATCGACAACTGCGTTGGTCTTTCCCTCATCGTCGACTCTCTCGTCAGCAGTCTTGACATCATCAAGTGCCCCAAGTTCGCTGTGCAGATCGACGGCACGGTCCCCACTCTGCTGATGGATCAGGTTGACGGTGCTGCCGTCTACCTTGGCCAGCAGAGCCTCAACACTGAGGTCTTTACTAGCAAGTGCTCCGCTATTAACATCAACCTTCCGCCGCCGGAGGGCACTGATGAAGACACCAAAGAGTGCCCTCTGCCCGAGCAGTTCAAGAGCTACATCAAGAACGGCGTGCTGGTGAGCGAGATCGTGGAGCATGCTGGTTAAACTAAGCTCGTTGGTTGAAGAGTACTAGGAAAGTCTATTTTCCTGGACTCAAAGGGATTCTAATATGTCTTGTCGGCCAGGTATAGTCTCCTTCCTGGGTGGCTTGACACTTGTTATTTTGGATAATTTAGTTGCTGTATCTAGCGCTCTGTAGATATAAATTGCAGTAACTCAACCTCGCCTGTTCTTACACATTTCAAAAAATCTTACCTGATTTCTTTCTATAAATCAACATTCTTGAACGTGAGGGCTTCTAAAATATATATCCGCTGTTCATGCACGTCGTTGGTAGACACGGAAGTCAAGACCGCGCAGCAACGCAGTTCACAGCGAAATATATGCAACCAATTCGAAATTCATGAAGTTAACCTAACTAACAGATGAACTTAGTATAAACACCAAAACCACACGGAGAGAGACGGAGATGCCAAAAATAAACATAGGAAGTAGGATAGTCAACCACCGTGCGCCTGGGCTCCCCATATATCCATAAAGCACAGGGAATGGAAGCAGATCAACTGGATGTCCAGGTGGTAAAAAGAAATACACACATCGCTTGGGCGTCAACCAGGATGAATAAAAATACTTGGCGCTATTATATATGGGTTAGTATAAACAGGGGATCGGCTGCAAACCAGTGCGCCTCTTGTCATGCTGCTCTGTGCTGTTCTGTTGCTGTTCTTTGAGGGTGGTATAGACAGGGAAATGAGGTTATGTGTCAAGTCAAGGTCAAGATACAAGTGGGAGAGAGGTGGTGTTACTGTTATACTGAATGGCGAGGTAGGGGTTCTTGCAGCGTATTGCACTGGGTTCGTTCAGCGAGGATGGTGGTTGTGAGTGGGAGATGGTCGGTCATAGAAGCCCAACTTGCGTGGATGGCGTTCGTCTACTGTGGCCTCCGGCCTGTGCACGTCGAGGCCTCGGAGTCTCTTGGCGAGTAGGCTCTCGCCGGCTTCTGGGCAGCTTGGATTTGAGATGCGAGCATGACGTCCGTAATCCTCGTTGCCCCTGGTGAGGTCGTTGTACCGAGACACACTATGCGAGGGAGGGGTATTTTCTGAGCGATCTGTAACATCCACGGGTCTTGGCACATCTAGATGTGAGGGGAACTCGCTGGGAGATGACACATGTGGGCGGAGGTGAGGGATCGCTCCTTGGCCCACGCTCCGTCTGCGGGAAGCTTGTTCAATTCGCAAGCGCGTATTTGCGCTCGCAGTACTCGAGATGGAAGACTCTCGGGAGGGCTTGTAGGGAGTGTACCGAGGCTCGGGAATTTGGATCTCATTTCGTAGTTTCTCCTTGCCATCCGGGACGCGGTTTGCAAACACCACGCGAATGGTTGAATGTAGGTAAAAGCGACCGCGTGCGGGACAACATACGTTCAGATGAATTAGGTACCGCAAAGTGGGTTTGTCCTGAGGGTCTTCTGTGGGATTCAAAGAAGCTTCAGGGCGATCGGTCCCGAAATTCTTCCGCGCACTAAGCGGCATATCGATGATCGGACCCGCCGAATAGCTGCGTTGCCGAATGAAGGTCTTTGTGCCAGGCTCCATATCACTGAGGTCGTATGGAACAAGGAAAAGCTTGACCGCAGTCTTGTGTGGGTTCTTGATTATGATCTGTAGTTGACCCTGTTGTGGAATCCGGTAAGAGCCACCCGGGGGACATTTAGGCGATTCTGACGTGCGATTCTTCTTTTCCCGGCGGCCTCGTGATTCAGCACCACACGCAGGGGTCTCATTTGCTCCACCTGTGGCGGGAGTGTCTTCACGGGTTTCCGTTGAACTCGGATGTCGCCTGCGACGTCGAGTCGGATTGGGATTCTCCTTTGGTAGGGAATTTTCCAGGTCGATTTGTCCTACATAGGGACTCGGGTTATCGTCTGAAATTGAGCGGCCGAACCCAGAGGTCGGATAGCTATAAAAGACAACTGGAAATGGCACTGTAACATGTGGGGGACATTTGAGATGACCTTTGCATTGTCCCTTGCCAAGGACACCGATCTGAGCGGTGAAATCCAGCGGCTTCGAAGGATTCATTGACATTCTTCCGCGTAATATTGACTCCTCGTAAGACCCCACCATCGGTGCGTGCGGATTTGACGAGATGTCAGAGACAAAAGACGGCCTTCTTACTCGAGATGGTGGGATCTGCCCCCCAGGGGACGGTGCGAGTTGAAGACTGTATGCTGAGGTCAATGACCGGCGAGGCAAAGAGTTTTGATTGAAGACATCCTGCTGCCGGCCAGAGGGAGATGGACTGCCAAGGTTCGGAATTTGATTGCTTGGCAGTGAGAATTGGAGATTTCCAAAGGTCTCTGGTGGCAAAGTACGACGACGGCTTTTTCTCTCCAAAGACTCCGAGACGTCCACATGGTCAACACGGGACGAAAAGTCCAAGTCGGTATTATTTGCTTGGTATACTAGAGGACTGGTAGGAGCTTTCAGAACATAACTTGACGAGAATGAGCCCACCGACGGTGCACGAGCACGAGCATTCACAATAACATCGGACTGAGAATGTCCATTCGATGTGCTTGTTTTTCGCAGATCGGGTGGCAAGGCCGGTGCTCCAAACCAGGGAGTAGTGGGAGAGGAGACCACATGAGTAAAGGGAGAAGCCGTACTCGGCTCAGTATAGGGAGATCGAGGAGCGTGTGAGTCATGGGGATCTGTGGCGCCTTCCCTGAAATCACCCGAGTGTAATGCTGACCGAGGTCTCTGGATATCGGCCGGCGATCCCAGTTCCTCTGTTGGTTTCATGTGATGTTCTTGTTTAAGAGAGCGGTCTTCATGCTCTCTTGATGCTGTTTGCGATTGCCCCTGTGAGGTTCCCGAGATAAATAAACCATTGTTGTCCTTATCCGGGGGCTATTGGCATGTTAGCCTATGTAATATACTTGAGATGATGTGTCGGACTATGAAAGAAAAGACAAAGAGAACAAAAAGGAAATCACAGCAAGCAGAGACTCGAGAGAGACCCGGATATCCACAAAGAGGTTCACGTACCATGTGTTGAAGTCTCCAAGGCGAAGATTCTTTGATACGGTGTATCAGCTCCTCCCGATCATTTGCCCACGACTTGGGCGGACTCAACGCCCTTGAATGCATGGAGTTGTTTCCCATTTCTGGAGCAGCTATCTCACGCTGGTTGAGATCATTTAGCTGGGCCTGCGAGGACGCTGTGGCCGGCTGTTCACGATTGCCAGGGTCGGGTGACCATTGATAATGACGCCGCCGATCCGGATCGCGAAATAGGGGCATGGTGGCGTGATAAGGGCAGACTATAAGGCCTGAAACGCTAAAGGGGACATTTCAGGAGACCACGGACGTAGCACCTTTTGAAACTAGAGCCGAGCTGTGCCTTGGTGGGGTCCAACTTGGATGCGGTGTACCAAGATGATTCGGGTATATGCCGTCAGTGATTTTACTGATTGGTGAAGAAGATAGCGGTTATATAGAAGAGAGTATGTATGCAACGCTATGGGCTTGGCTTCTGTTGCTGTCTCAAAGTATGAATGCCCAGTTTATGCCTCAAAATGTTGAAAATGTTGAATAGGGAAAGAAAGTATTGAGCAGATCGTGTGCATTGTGTCGTTGAATGGGGTGGACACCCGTCGATCTCGGAGATCCGGACTGAGGACGTCATGTGATGGACCAGTGACGTTGTGTTGCAGTTGGGTAGAGAGCCATCCAGGGCTGTATTGTATGTTGGATATTGCATTCTTTTGGGCCTCAATAAAGACATCAAGGCCCAATGCCTGAAACCTGAGAGATATTGGGGGGAAATAAAAAGGCACATAATGTGCAGACCATCTCGAATGACAATAGAATCAATGATAATATTGTACATATTGTGCGTATAGGCATTCTAGATGACATTATAAATAATTGTACGGAGAGCATAGCTACTTCCCTTATCGTCTTGATCTTTTAGAACCGAAACCGAGAAGAAAAAGTGTGTTCGTAGATTGTCCAAAAGTCCATACTTACCTGCTAGTGGCCGAGACCGATGTTCCGTGCGGAGATCGCCACTTTTTTTTTCTTCTCCGAAGGTCTTTCGAATTCAACACACGTCGGGACAAAACACATTTGTTTTGCTTGAAAATATCAACATGGCGCCGAAACGTACGCACGACGGTGAGCCTGCTCCAGCATCAAAGGGCGAGCCCGCGGTCAAGAAGCGCAAGGGTTTTAGCGTCGGACCCGCAAACCTCCCAGATGGCACATATCGTCGCAAGAGTAAGCACGCCTCAAAGCCATGACATGAACAAGACTGACCGAATGATTTACAACAGCCCAAAAAATCAAAAATGACTTGATTCACAAAGCCAAAGTGAAGAAGGCCTATGCCAAGATCAAAGCCGAAGAGCTTGCCACCGCGCCTAAGAAATCCGTGTACGATACCGCCGACGGGGATGAAATGGAAACTGGCAAAAACAAGGAAGAGGCTGGTGAAGAGGCAACAACTCTAGAACTCCACCCGGATCGCATAGCCATGTTGAACGAGCCAGAGGCTGAGCCGGCACCTGCATTTAGACCAGAACGGCGCCCACGAGGCGATGGCAAACAAAAGGAGCGCCGGCCAAAGCCTTCTGCATTCACAAAAGAGATGGAGTTTGCAGAGAAGCGAAGGAAAGCGGAGGAAGCACGACGGAAGGACCGCGAGGCGAAACAAAATGAGCGTGAGGCACTGCTGCGCGCGAAGCGGCCGGACCAGTTTGGGAAGAGGAGATTAGGCAGAGAGAGCAACGCGTTGCTTAGTCGCGTGCAGAGGATGGTTGGTCAGAATTAGAGAGGAAAGGCAAGAGCTATACGTGCATGGTGTGGACTATGTTTCCATGATACCCGGTTCGATATGAAAAGAAGTTATTATTCAAAGCATTCAATATACGATTCCCTAATAGCACTGCTTGCTAAACCTATGTCGAGGACGCTGCGGACGACTTGGAGCTCCCTCCATTTGCACCTCCGCCGGTTCTCGGCTTTTTGAAACAAGCAAACTCGCCCTTAGTCCGATCTCTGAGCCGTTTCAGGATAACCCGCATTTCTCCTAGTTCGGCCTTCAGTTTTGTGCGAGCTTCATTTGTGGTGCGACAATCTAGCTCGACGTAGATCTGGCTCTGCACATTCGATGCCTCCTCGGTTATGTACGGGCTAAGAGTCTGTGCAATGAACTCAGTATCTAAGGTAGCTTGCATCAAAGCCGGCAGCGAGAAAGAGGGCCGAGCGCGGAAGGCATCAAGCAGCGATGAAGAAATTTGAGAAAGGAGATGTGCCAATACAGTGCCCAGCAGCGAAGAAGGTGAACTCGATGGAGCGCGACTAGCATTTGATGATACAGTAGACGGAATAGTTGTGGAGATCTCTGTATGGACAAGCACCATGGTCAGCATGGCGTTGTAGACATATGGGCGGACTTGCTCCGGCCTGTCGACAGACGGCTCCCAATCTGGAGATGCAATGCCAGTGGTGATGGTTGTGTTTAATGAAGCAGTAGTCGGGGTGATATATGATTGGAATAGCCTGTCTTCAATCTGGCTCAGCACGTCCCGGACGGTCTTGGCTTCTTCCGTCAGCTTGACTGAGAAGGATGTCTCAAAGTTCGAGATAAGCTGTGGGACATGGTCGGCCTGCAGAGCCTTGAGATTTGAAAGTGTGAGAAGGATTCGAACATTCTGTTCTGTGGTCAGTTATGCAGGTATCATATCGAACTTGGACCGACACTTACCCGATTCCAAGAATCAACCGAATCAGCCGAGAGAACCGACAAAGCAGCGTCAGTCGCTTGGCTTGTCATTGCTGGTCGAGCAATAATCCATTCATTTTCTTCATCTACCGTTGCCAGGTGCTCTGCGTTTTCGACCAGGCCGCTCAACGCTTTGTAAACACTCGATACGAACTGAGAGCGGACCATTTGAAGTAGCTTTGCAGGGGGCGGAGTGACAACATCCACGGAACCTGGCTTTGCCATAGCTTCCGAAATGTAAAGGATCTTTTGCATGCCTCCAAGGATAGCACTTTCAAAAGCCACAAAGAACCCAGGCATCTTAGTCAAATCACGTTTCTCTGTATCGCGTGTCCAGTCTTCTAACATTTTGCAGATCTCCGCATCTTTACTCCAGGCAGCACATGCCACACGTGCACATCGTTCCCGAGAAACGCTGACAAGGGTCTTGAGGAGGTCATATGTTTTCCCAGAGCCGCCAACCGGCCTTAGGGCTGCCATTTCGCTCGCAGCGGTGCCCACAGTGATGAGGAATTTACTTAGGTAGTGCACTCCACTAAGCGAATTGGAAAATGGTGGCCAGAATGCGAAATACTCCCAGTGCTCTCCAAGCTTTGGGGGAGGATATGGTAGGTTTGTCGGATCCAGCTTGAAGCGGGACTCTGTCGGAGTAATACCCCTCGACTCTGGAGTTGATGGACTTGCTGGAATTGGCGAGAAGAGTAGGGAGATATCTTCGGTTGGTGGTTCCGTGAAGAGGGCCACGACGCTCTCTCGAATAATATTGACCAACACCGCAATGCCTTCCTCTAACTCCTTAATGTTGTCGTCGGAAAGGCGATGATGTTTGCGACTCTCCCCTTCAAACCCGGCAGGCAAAAGCCGTTGTCGATTGCCATCAATGAATGATTGTGCGACTTCCCAGAAATCCAACACCTCGCCCAGCAAGCCAGTTTGCGAGGACAGAAGTCGGGTTAGGAACGTTTGTATGCATTCCCACAACTCAATGACTTGATCCGTGTCTAGTCTCCCTGGCATTTCTACCGCACCATCACGAGGTGCCAGGCGGAGATAGGATGCCGTAGCCTGTGGACTTGGTCTCTCTCCACCAGCAAGTCTTCTTCTCAAAATTTCAATTTCGACCTTACATCGGTCACAGAATCCGGTGATCTTTGTCTTCAAGAATTCAAGACGACTCTGAAGCCATGTCCAGATAGGGTTGTCCTCGACACCCAGTTCCAACAAGGCCCCGATCAACTCCATGTGTTCTTCCACGGGCCCTAAGGCGGTGCTTGTAGTTGAAGTGGTGGGGGCGTCGGCAAGACGTCTCCAGAGATCACGCTTAAAGTCGTGGATTTGTTGGTCAACATCCATCCACATCCGGCCCATGGCCAGAATGGTGTGTGTCTCAGAGTCGTTCAGTTGCCGGCGGGAACTGGATGCCTGTTCTGCGATATTTTTAGCCCGATTTGCGAGCGTCCTTGCTTTGGTATGCTGCTCAAAGACAGCATCGTAATCGCGCTGCTGGATGGACTTGGACAAATGGCTTCCAATTTCATAGACATCGCGGTGTTTCTCCATAGTCTCCACCACCGACTTCAGAACCTTTTCTCGTTCCCGACCCCCAAGAGCCGGTCCCCACACCTCTTCGGCCTTGACAGAAGCCTCGACCAAAGGACCTCTAATACCCTTCATGCCGAACTCGCTCTCCTTGACAAGAGCGGTCTTCTTGGCAACCATTGGGGTGGGAGATATGCCCCGTTGCTGACCTGAATAGCTCCGGAAATGCCCTGACCTGCGGGGACTCAGACGCGGTTCCTTATCAACGCCCTGGTTCCTCATCTCAGTGTAGACGCTATCGATAGTTGCCTTAGCACGAACGAAGCGCTCAAAGTTGGCTTCCACCAATACCTTCAGCGACGCCGACTTCTGATCGATGGAACGTGACAGATTATCCAGTCCGCCCGTCAGCGATTCAATAGATGCTGAGTGATGCGCCTGTGATAGGAACAGTGCAGGCGAGAATGATGTCGATGACAGTAGGAACCGTGATTTTCCTTCTTCCTCCAATGGCACTCCTCGCTGCTTGAGAATCCGGAGGACGCTGTCGCTGGTACCCAAGGGGTCGGGCTCGTCTTCCCGCGCATTGTCTCTGCTCTCCTTCCCCCTTCGTGAACCAAAGTTGCTTCTCCAATCACTGGGACTGCGTTCGAGAGCTATGTATCGTGACTTGCGTGGACGGGAGTCTGTTCGTTGAACCGGCTGTTCTTCTGGCTCATCGGCCACGTCTAAAGATGCCGGCCATTCCTCGGGGAACTCGGAGGGTAGGTTGTAGTGGCTTGCGACGTCGAGGTCAGCCATGATTGCCAAGTGGAGCGCAGGAGCAAGGACGAATTGAAATACAAAATAGAATCAGGTTGAGCTTTCTGCAGGTGACCGAGATCTGATAGCAGAACCCTAATCAAATGTTGAGACCCTATAGCTGGTAGTCAAGAGTGGACACCAGGCAAAAGAGTGGACTCGGGCCGTGGGGGAAATGAAACCACCAATGCGGTCTGAGGGCCGGTCGGATCGGTACGGCGCCGAGAGATTTGATTCTTTCTCCCCTTCTCCCTCTTCCATTCCTCCCCCTCACCACCTCTAATCTTTTCCCAAAGAAATTGAAGGGATCTTTCAAGATGATCGCTGCCCGGAACTTCTCTGTCGCTCGCCAGTGCATGCGCCCGTCCCGCGTGGCCCCCCGATTTGCTGCTCCTATCGCGCAGGTACCAACCCCCTCAGGATACTCAGTCGCTATCGAAGCTCAATTGACTAAATTTCGACCTTTCAAATAGATCCGCTTCTACGCCAGCCCTGCCCAGGAGGCTGTTGCGAAGTTCAAGGGTCAGAAGGGCCCTGATGTACGTTTTTCTCCCACCGTACCCGTTTTTTCATCTATGCCGATGGAAGCCGCGCAGCACCCACCGACAATAATCGAGAACATCACCTTGTGTGTAATTACAAAATGCTAATTGATCTGTTTTGTTTGAAATAGGGCAAGTACACTGTTACTCTGATTGAGGGTGACGGTATTGGTCCTGAGATCTCTCAGTCCATCAAGGACATCTTCGAGGCCGCAAAGGTAGCGATTTCTCAACCTCTGAACTCTTCAAGAGCGAAATACTAAGTCAATCATAGGCCCCCATCAAGTGGGAATCCGTTGATGTCACCCCTATCCTGAAAGATGGCAAGACCGCCATTCCCGACGATGCCATTGCCAGTGTGCGCCGCAACTACGTCGCCCTCAAGGGTCCTCTCGCTGTATGTTCCAGCTTCAAATTGCCCATATATGTCTCGCATCTGGACTGCGATACTAAACTTCTTTTCTCAAGACCCCCGTTGGCAAGGGTCATGTCTCCCTGAACCTGACTCTCCGCCGTACTTTCAACCTGTTCGCCAACCTGCGTCCTTGCCGCTCCATTGCTGGCTACAAGACCCCCTACGACAACGTCGACACTGTTCTCATCCGTGAGAACACCGAGGGTGAATACTCCGGTATTGAGCATGTTGTCGTCGACGGTGTCGTGCAGAGCATCAAGCTCATCACCCGCGAAGCTTCCGAGCGTGTCCTCCGTTTCGCCTTCCAGTACGCGCAGTCCATCAACAAGAAAAAGGTCCGTGTTGTCCACAAGGCCACCATCATGAAGATGTCCGACGGTCTGTTCCTCAACACCGCCCGTGAGATCGCCAAGGAATTCCCCGATATCGAGTTCGATGCTGAGCTGCTGGACAACTCATGCCTGCGTATCGTCACCGACCCCACCCCTTACAACGACAAGGTCCTCGTCATGCCCAACCTGTACGGTGACATTCTGTCCGACATGTGCGCCGGTCTGATTGGTGGTCTCGGTCTCACCCCCTCCGGTAACATTGGTGACGAGTGCTCCATCTTCGAGGCCGTCCACGGCTCCGCCCCCGATATTGCCGGCAAGGGTCTCGCCAACCCCACTGCTATGCTTCTGAGCAGTATCATGATGCTGCAGCATATGGGTCTCCACGACCACGCTAACCGCATCCAGAAGGCTATCTTCGACACTCTCGCCGAGGGCAAGGTGAGTTTTTACATCTATTCCTACCGTTACCGCGCATTACTGACCCCATGACCTTTAGACCCTCACCGGTGATCTTGGCGGCAGCTCGAAGACCCACGAGTACGCTGGGGCTATCATCAAGCGCCTGTAAACCAAGCGCTGCTGAGACTCCTTGTACTATGACCCCCCGATCTATTCCCTTTGTACCCTTCGAACGACATTAGACCTATAGCGATCGAAATATACCTACTCTTGGTTACCTGGAGGCGCCTGATTCACAAACAACCCCAAAACCTCCTTTAATCTTATCTTGGTAGATATGTATCGTACATAGGTTGATCGGTTCTGCTGATCAAGCAATAAGGTACAAGATGCCTGCATAGTCATACACATAACTAGAACAAAAGAAAACGCCATCCCCCCAACTCCGCAGTATCGAAAACTCGGCTATGTTAACGCCGTCGGGCAGTCCTGCGTGTCGCAGTGCCAGTCGAAGGCCTCTTATCTTTGGCTTTGGATCGAGATGTCTGCGCTCGGGTGCTCCGCGAACCACCCTTTTCGCCCTCGCCCTCATCTTCGTCACTATGGCCCTCAGAGCCCTCCTCGCCTTCCTCATCGTCCTCATCATTCGCACCAGTGTCTTCTGAATCACCCCCTTCGTCTGATACCTTTCCTTGACTCCCTGGGCCAATTTCCACTTGCAAACGGGTCGAGCGTGTCCCACGTGTGGAGGTACGGGATTTGCGACCTCGAGACGGGGCAGGAGAAGACCGTGGTTCTGGGGTGGACAAGAGGTCAGTTTATGGGTTGTAGACCAGGCTGTAAACCATATCACTCCTTACCATCTGTATCTGCGACTGTGCTTCCTCGCCGCGATCCGCCTGCGCGACTGGCACGACTAGTGACCGGCGACAATGACTCTTCCATCGCAAGCCGCCTTTCAAACATCATATCGCCGTACTCGTCATACGGAAGCTCAAACGTGCAATACATCTCGCCGGATCCTTCATCGTCGTCGTTGACATCGGTGATCACTGAATCTTCCTTTAAACGTATCGCTAATCAGCAAATGAATCAGCACAGACAAAACATCGATGATGGCTTACCCGCTCGTCAAGAGCTTCCAAATTGTATAATGAGCCGAGCTTCTTCCAAATCCCTGGAATCCGCATATGCTCCGCCGTGGACGGTGCATATCCTTGGCTCTTTAAGTAATCTGAGATTGCGAGCATCCGAAAGTGTTTGTGTATGCCTATGGGACCAGACGGTTAGCTGCGTTGTCGACTCAACATAGGTGGGATTGAACTGACCGACAGGCTTCCATTTTATAATCGCTTTGAGTAGCGCAGTTTCTTGCTCGTCTGTCCAGGGGTCCGTGATGAGGTCGTAGTCTGTGTCTGACTTGTCGGCGCTGTCGCTTGACGGGGTATTTCCGCTCGACTCCACCATGGTATCGTCTTGGGGTGTAGGCGAGTGTGCGCGCTTGGTCTTCTTCTTTGGAGGCATTGTAGCTTAGGTGCAATATCCGAGAACCACAGGAAGTAGGAATGATTGGATTGGGTGGGAGGGGAGATAATGAGCTTCGAGCCGGGCGAGGGCACTTTCTGTTATCAAGGGTCTGTGCACGGCGATAGCCATCTCCGTCGCGGGACCTTGGGAACTTTCACGCGTCAAACATCTTGCTCATCTGAGCATGGTCTCACTATGCATTGTGATCATGAGCTGGATCCTTTCTCCAGTGAAAGCCTTTGGAGACTCTCCAAATTCAGCATAGAAGCTCTACAGCCATTGGAATCGCTACCATGGAATACTCCTCTAAGTGGTAAGCGTCAACCGCAGATTTCCTAGAACCTTCAATAACCCTCTTTTTCTCTATAGATGATGCTACATCTTGCTTTGAAATATACCCACAGCCCACAGATAAGATCGACCCTGTATGGAAGCTGGATCTCTTTCCATCCGGCTTGGAAAAGCCCGAATCATGCACCGACTCGATCATCAATCCCTCGATAGATGGCGAGTCTGACGCCACATGTGATTCTTTAAGAAACATTTCAGGCGATGATAATGATATATGGTCCTTGGATTTACTTCAGGAGGAACCTGGTCAACCACCCCCGCAGAAATCATGGGAGAGCTTTCAAAACAGATCTTTCCAAGAGCCCGTGTCTGTCTACTTTAGTGAATCTGGGGTAAAGGGCTTCGATGCAGTTTTGGCGCAGCAAAGCGCCGTAAAGACAAATAGTGCACCAAATGGAATGGTTCGCGCAGATGCGTTCATTCGATCACTGCTTCGTCTCGGGCTTGGCTGGAGCTCTGCGTTCTTTCGCTACAATCAACGCACCAACCAATTTGAAAGATCTTTGAAGGATATCTCTATCTCTGGTATTAGCCCATTGGCCTTAGGAAATGTGATTGAATACGTGGTGCGATGTGGTACCAACATGCAGCGCATGCGGTTGTTTGCGCAAGACCTGCCAGCCAAATGCAGAGGACTTTCTGCTTTGTTCACATTAAGCAGCACAGTTGCAGTAATAATCGTCAACCTTGAACAACAGGTTTCCGATCATTCAAAAGACATTACCTCGCTCCTACAAGTAAAGGCACTCTTTCACCGCTGCGGGGACTTGATAGGTGTCCTGGCAGCTATTGTTGATGCTGCGCAAACGGCTGTCTCGGACGCACAAGTCATGTCAATTGTGACGGAACGTGCAGCTTTTTTTGCCCAGAAGTTTGGCTGGATGGAGAACCTTATGCATGAGATTGTGATTCGAATGACTCGGCCCTGGTTCAAATTCATCGAGACTTGGATTGGGCTTAGACCCGAAGACACAGCTCTCAAAGAATCCATGACAAGCGGCAACACCTTCGTCCGACTGGAAACTCATGACCGTGGCAAGTTCAAGACTGGGCCAGCGCGAACCGACCACATCTATGAAACGGACCACATGCCGTCTTTCATCCCAGCCGACCTAGCCCGTTCCATCTTTGAAAGTGGGAGAAGTCTTCAACTATTGAAACGATCCCATCCTCGTCATCCCATCGCGCAGCGTGATGTTCTCTTGCGAACCGGTGGTCTTCATCTGCATTGTGCGACCACTTGGGCTGGTATTGAAGAAATTCAAAGAAGAGCCCAGGAGTACGAGTCAAGACTCCGCGCTGAAATCAAGAAATATCATAAAAGTGACGCAGGCTTGCAGGATTTACCATCAAACGTGGTCACGCAGTGTGTCGATCAAACCACCAACACAGAAGTTACAACGGCAGCTTTTGAACTTTTCGACATAGATGATGAAAAAAGCGCTCTAGGGCCGGTCACAGATCACAAGGCTCTTTCAAAAGATGATTTGAAGCAACTGCTCGATAAAGCCCGGGGATTTGAGACGGAAGACACCAATGAAGCAAGCTACCTCGGTCCTGAATTGACGTCTGGCCTCCATCTATCTCTTGCGCCCATTCTTTCATCACAGGCCCTTCTCATCGACTATTCTTGCCTGCACCTTCTCTTCAAAGAGCATCGAATTCGCCATCATCTGAACATGCAATGGCGTTTCCAGTTGCTAGGGGAGGGCTCGTTTGTCGCCCGCCTTTCTAATTCCCTATTCGACGCGGAAATGCAAAGTGGGGAGCGAAAGGCTGGGAAAGTGCGCAGTGGTGTTGACACCGGTCTGCGCCTTGGCAGCCGTGACACATGGCCGCCAGCTAGTTCAGAGCTGCGACTCGTGTTGATTGGCCTGCTGGGAGATTGTTACTTTGGGAGCACAAACACAGAGGATGACGAGCAAGCCCATGCTCAAAAGGATAACGAGCTGCCTGGTGGCCTGAGCTTCGGAATTCGAGAACTGACAGATGAAGAGATCGAAGCATGCAAAAATCCGAATGCAATAGAGGCTCTGGACTTCCTTCGTCTGCAGTACACGCCGCCAGAAGTCCTTGAATCCCTCATTACTGCTCGCTCTTTGAATAAGTATGATCGTCTATTCAAGCATTTGCTTCGGTTACTCCGCATGGTTTCTGTCGTCAAAGGACTTATCCGGGATTCTACTGCCCGAAGATCTCTATCAGGAGACACACACAATGTATACCGGAAGTTTAGAGTGGATGCCCAGCACTTTGTGCTAGCGGTCAGTGACTACTGCTTCCATGTCGGCATTGGGTCCATCTGGCAACGCTTCCAAGACACCCTTACCAAGATCGAGCACTGCCTTAACCACGGTGACATCGACGGTACAATTGAAGCGGCGCACTCAGTACCACGGCTTCGTGATTATCACGAAGATATCCTCGACCAGATGCTGTTCGCGTTATTCCTCAGCAAGCGCCATGCGCAGGCGGCCAAACTGCTTGAATCCATTTTCGGCACTATTCTCGGCTTCAGCCTTCTGTCAAGAGCAGATGGAATCGGGATGCGCAACGAAAGTGAAGGAGCTGTTCTCTACCTGTATCAGTCTTTTAGAAAACAGACCTCCGCCTTTGTCAACTACCTTCGCAGCCTGGAATCCGGAAAGGCCACTTCGAAATCAATGGCCAAATCAGGGGCCTTCTTCTCTTCGCGGACAGACCCGACCAGTGTCTTTGAGCATCTACGGGCGAGACTAGATATCAAGGACTACTATTGATCGAAGGAAGCAGTTTCTGTATTCAGAATGTGTAAAGAATAACCTGCTGGATCTTAGGTGGAACGTTTGTC